CTCCCCGCGCCTGCGCCCGCGCCTTTTGCGCGGGGGCGCGCCGCAGCGCCGCTTGCCCCGGCCCCGGAGGGCTGGGCGGGCGCTCCCTGGGGTTCACCACGGCTGCGGTGGCCCCGCCAGCCCTGCCTGCGATACTGTATGACCACCTGCCCTTTAATAGGAGTCTTGGCCTCTGCCGGGGCCCCGCCCACTCGTCTCACACACGCTGGGCCCCGCGCACCCTCTCTTTTCGGCTTTGCTGCCTCTGCTTGGCATGTAGTCACCCCCGCGCCGCCCGTTTGGGAGGGAAGCAAATTTGTCCCCCAGCGGCGCTCGACCGACTCTACGCCCGCACTAGCCGCGCCCCGCCACAGGCGGCGGCTTTCGGACGCCGCTGCTTTGTTGGCTGACGACGAACCTGGGATTCTAGGGATTGCGCCTGCCCCGCTGGGGCGGGCGCACGCGCACCCACACAGATTTTGCTCTTCCGCATCTCATAAGCCCCAGCCGGCGCATGCGCACGCAGACTGCGTGCGCCCGGGCTGGGGCTGTTGCTGCCAGCGTGGGCCGCATGCAGGCGCACAGGCTCTCTGCCGTTGCGCACATTCCCATCGGCTGCCGCCGGCAGTCATGCGGCCATGAAGAAAAGGTGGCTGCCGGCTGGTGTCTGACCCTTGCACACCCGCACAGACCCCTACACACAAAACGCAATCTGTCGGCGAGGCCAGATCGCCGCACGCAGGACGCACGTCTCTTCCTTAACGCTTGTAACATCTCTTGATTACGTGATTTCTGGCACAGACGTTAGGCACTACGGCAGGCTCACAAGGGGCTCGCCGAGGAGGGTGACAGGTCGTGTGGGCTGACCAGTTTGGAAACCAGTGGGGCAGATGGCAAACGGCAGGGTCTTCCCCAGAGGCAGCCCCTGCACCACAATCAACCGTTTTTCGACTGCAAACCCACCAAGCATTGAATCACACAACTCCTTTAGTCATCATCCCTGTCCATCCAACAGGAGCGCTTGCATGCGCGAGTGATTACACAACCGCAACGGGGCCGCAACTGGTAGGTACTGCCGCCCTTGCTTGCAATGGAGGGGTTGAGGGCCCGCTGAGGGAGGCATGCCGCAGCATTGCTGCTGCTGCCAAACCCAGACCCTGAGGCAAAAAAGGGGGCGCGTTGAGAGGGGCTGTGCGGCACCCATGGGCTGTGAGGCCAGCAGGCTGCAGGGCCCCGCGAGGGGGGTGAGGGCGCGGGCGGCAATCGTGGAGTGGGGGTGGAGCAGGGGTGCAATGCTTGCGGCATTGGCAACACCGAAAAAGAAAGCTTGACAGGGGGGGCTGTTCTGGCGCGACTGCGCGTCGCGCGTGACCCAAACCAATCGGAGACCGATACAAGTGCTGTTGTTTCAATGGGGCGGGCGGCCCGGCGCCCGCCCAAAACAACATGACAAGGTGTACAAGTTGGCCGGCAGCTGCTCGCCATGTCATGCTTACTACTCCTGGACACCGGCAACCATCACATAACCAACTGGCAGCCGACGTTGTAACCCAGCTCAAGGGCCATGCGTGGCGTCATGAGCGCGCACAGCCAGGCGCAAGGCGGCCCGCCCGCGCCTTACCGCCGCGCGCCCTCTGGCAGCAGCGGCGCCCGCTCCTCCGCGCCCCACGCCGCGCCGCGCGGCCGCGGGCGCCGCCGCTGGTCGGGGCTCGCGGCCGCGTCCCCCTTGCCGTCGCCGTCGCGATCACCGCCGCCGCCTGGCCCGCCGCAGTCGACCTTCAGATGGAATGGCCCAGCCGGCTCCGCCGCGGCCTCCGCCCCAATAGCAACCTCCGCATCAAACGCCGCCACAACCCCCACCTCCTCGCCCGTTGTCGCGGCCGCCGCCGCGGCCGGCGCCTCGGGCACCCGCACCGTCACGGCCACCGCGAGCGACGCCGCCGTCAGCGCGGCCGACGCCCAGAACACGAGCCCGGGGCGCCCCGACAGCGCGCCGCCGGTCGTGGTGCAGGCGGCGAACAGCGCGGAGTACAGCAGCGGGCCGAGGCCGGTCGACAGCGCGCGCAGGCCGCCCAGGGCGCCCTGGACGAGCCCCTGCTCGTCGTCGCTGCAGTGGTTGGCCTTCATCGCGGAAATCGCCGGGAAGCTGACGCCCGCGATGCTGCCCAGCGCGATGGCCCCGAGCGCCTGGGTTTTGTTTGTGTGGGAGGGAGCGTGGTCGTGAAACATGATAGGGTAAGGGTTAATGGGGGCTGGAGCAAGGTTGGAACGCGTTTCTGCTGGAGCACAAAACAGGGGAGGCGGCCGGGTGTGCACGGACTAGGCCGGCCGCGCCGCAGCCCGGAAGCGGCGCCCCCTGTCGCGCCCGGCATCGCCGCCGCCCGCGCACCTGCCACTTGGCGGCCGCCACGGCGAGCAGCGCCTGCTCGACTGCCGACACGGCGAGGCCCAGCACGAGAAGCTTCTTCTCCCCCAGCAGCGGCACCAGCACCGGCAGCACAAGCACCTGCACCACGAGGTTTGTCGCCCCGAGGGTGGCGAACAGCGCCCCCTGGTCGCGCGTCGTGAAGCCCAAGGTTAGCTGCAGGTACTGCACGAGCGTCTGCTCGACGCCGCCTTGGACGATCCCGAGGATAGCCAGGCTGGCGGGAGGAGCGGCGTGGGTGTGTGCAGGGGAAGGG